CTGACCCTGTCCCCCCTTTTGCCCCCAGGGAAGCTGGGGGAGAAGCTGGCCCTGCGTCGCGCCGCGTGGCTGCGGGTGCCCCGGGCCTCGGGGTTCATCGGGGTTTACAGCCACGGGGGGCTAGCGGCCCCCCCCGCCCCGGTAGCCATGGGCACCTACGGGGCCCTGGTGGCTTGCGAGGTGACGGAACCCCGAGCCCCGGAGGCCACCTTGGAGGATGTGGGGCGGAAGGTGGCCCAGCACGTGGTGGGGCTGGCCCCCAGGGAAGTGGGGACCCCCCAGGACGAGTTGGGGGGCGAGGAGGAGTCACGGCTACTGGCCCAGGGCTTCCTGCTGGAGCCCGAGCTGAGCGTGGGCCAGTTCCTGCGGCGCCGGGGGGTCCTCAGCGTCACCGACTTCCTGCGCTTCCGCTGCGGAGAGGAGACCCACGGCGAGCCCCACGGTGGCGAGGGGACTCGAGTGGACTCGTAGCCACGGAGGGGGGAACGACAGCCAGCCTGGTGGAGGTGGGGGAGCCCCACAGCAAGTTCTGCCCCACACCTCCAGGTCAGGGTCAGCCCCAGAGCGAGCTCTGCCTCACACCCTGGGATCCAGATCAGCCCCACAGCAAACTCAGCCCCACACCTATGGGTCTGGACCAGCCCCACGGCGAGCTCTGCCCCATGGCAAGCTCTGCCCCACAGCCTGGGATCCAGATCAGCCCCACAGCGAGCTCTGCCCCACACCCTGGGTCCAGATGGGGCTGGAAGCCCCAGCTTGGGGGGGGAATTGGGGGGTGTGTATGTTGTGGGTCAGGGGGTGTTTATGTGGGGCATGGGGGGGGCAGTGTGACCCCCCCCCGCAATGTCTTGTGGGGCTGAGGCAGAATAAAAACTTGGAGGAACTTTTCTGATGGGGTTTTAATGGCAAATCAGTAAAAAAAGGGGCAAAAAATAGGCGGGGGGGGCACTTTCTGGCTCCCCCCGGGCAGAGCAAGGGCCTGGGGGATGACACTAAGGGGGGGGCACCATGGAGGGGGGGTCACACCCCTGGGTGCTGCCTGAGGGGCCACCCCACTCCTGCCCCCATTGGCACTGGTGGG